TAAGGTAGATTTACCTTGTTAGATAAATAAATAAATGAATAAATAAATTTTTAAATAATTAGATGAATAGATTTAGTCACAAAATTGCTTGTATTGTTAAATTTTTAACTTACCTTGATAGGTAAATAAATAAATGAATAAATAAATATTTAATTAATTAAGTAATTAGATGAATAGACTTAGTCACAAAATTGCTTGTATTGTTAAATTTTCAACCACTTTACTCGTTTCTAATTTTAGGTTGCTTTTTTTTCATTTCAAATATATTTGACTTTTTGGCATTTACTTTAATTCGCTGCAATTAAGTAATTAATTTCATATTATCAGAATAATGAACCAATTAAAAAATATGCAAGTCATGAACTTTTATTTTTCAAAACTAAACTAATTAGTCTAATTTTTTGTTAAAAAATTTTTCAAATGCTTTTTATTAAGCTTAAATAAATGCTAAAATTTGATAAATCATTTGAAAAGTATTGCTTAGAGTAATATAATTTTTACAATTAGTTTTCTATCAGAAAAATGCAAATAATAACAATTATTACACTTACGTGACCTTATCTATATCACATCTTCAAGTTTTTAGGATTAATATGCAATAGGTTAACTGCAGAAATATTTATTCAACAAGAAATAAGTGAAGCTTTTGCTCTTTGCTTTTAAATACTTCTGTCTTCTCTTCACTTCTACTAAAAAGTACTTACTTCAACCCACGTTTACAACTAATTGTTCAGAAGTACTGTAACGATGATTGTAAATGAATGAGCTTAAAAAATGCTTCGAATTTTTGCAATAAATCTAATATATGACACAATTTAGCTCATTAGCTCATAGTTATGTAACAATGAGCTAATAAAATTATGTTTAGAATACAGTTTTATGATAGACTACAATGGTATGCTGGTTTGAAAAAGGTTTTTTAATTGTATTTGAAATCTAAAATGATTAATCCTACAAAATATTTGACCTTGCCATAATTCATTTATTATTAATAGTATAGGAGCTAGAAAACTGGATTACAAAGTCAATTAATAACATTGCAATTATATTAAAAATATTTTATAAAGTAATTGTTAAATTTCATTATGAGAAAATTTTCAAAAAATGAAATATTTTAAAAATTAATAATTTTCTAAATATGAAATATTTTAAAAATTAATAATAATTTGGAGTGAAAGTAATTTTCAATAATTTCACTTCAAACTATTATTAATTTACAAAGCAATTCACAGTATAATTTGGGGTCAAGAACAAATATGCAAGTTTTATTCAAAGAGAAATATTATTTGCCATTATGTTTAATATTATTTTTTCAGTTTACTTCATATGCATGTAATAAATAATCTTAAAATCAATCAAAGATCAGAAAAGATTAGCACAACAGGTTTACTCTTCATATTAAAAATTTAAATATTCCATATTACCCCCTAGTTATTCCATATTCCAATATGCCCACAATGATCAACGTAACTACCCCAAAAATATTTTACAAAAATTAAATTTGAGCTATTTTTATTCAAATTTTTTAAATTTAAACATATGTTCTTCTTAAAATCACAAGAGAGAAACAATTTTAACGTTAATTATTTTTCAATTCAGTACTTGCCTTTTACTCTCTAATACATACTTCAACTGACAAAAGTGAATAATATGTAACCATAGTAATAATATGTAGCCATAATAATGTTAAAAGGTAAAATTTCTAGAATAATGAATAACATTTAATATCAAAAATGAATAATATTCAGAGCTAGAAAACTTTTGAAGAATTTTATTTGCTCGCGCGTATTTTGTAATGCGTAGGATATCAAACTTGAAATTTGATACTTACCAAAATAACAATACGTGACCAACAATGAAGCAAAAATATGATGAATAACAATAACAATTGTGAATTTATTTTTTTAAGACAATAATAAAAATAATAAACAATTTATAAAGCATTTTGCAAATCATAAAGACTTTTATTCCCATTTACACGTTAATTTTTGTTTCTTACGACAAAATGATTTTAATACATACCTAATAACTTTTTAACAACCTTTTTGCAAAATAACAACAATATTTGATTAAATTATAAATTTCAAAAATTACTTCCTAATAATTACTAAGATAAATAAGAAAAGTCTTCAAGAGATGTCTTCGAAAAAGAAAATAATTCGAATAATTAGCAAATTTTTACTTCTTTGCATGTTATGTAAACGATTGTGTTTACACATAAAGCTTACAAAAGTAATAGCATAATGAAGTGACTGATGAACGCAAATATGGATGACAAAAAAGTGCAGAGAATGCAAAGAAAGATATTTTGATGGTAAAATCATGGGCCACGTCAATTCCACGTGCTCAAATAGATATAACATCTTCATTGAAATGCTACAATAGTAGTGAGTCATAGAAAGCTGGAATTTATTTCTGATCAACTAATAACTAAGCCTATATAGCCAGCAGTGAGTGGTGCAATGTTTATATATCGAGACTAATTCAATACTTTCTGCACATCAAAGATTGCAATTTTTACGAACCGTATTGCCGTCTACTGCAAAGAAGTACATTAGCTGACCTTCGCCCTATTAATTCGAAGGATTTTCTTAGCAGAAACTTCTCACTTCCACAAGTATTTAACAACCTGCTTAAGTAATGAATACAAAACTCTGAGATATTTGTTCAATGATTGATTATATTTTACCGAAAAAGGAATAATTACACTAAAAACTCGCTATGAATTGAAAATGCTTACTGAAAATATACAGTTTTAAAATCATATTACTATAAAATATTGTAATATATAGAAGCATAGAAAGAGCAAAAAGTGGGCTAACAGTTTAAAATCACGTAATTAAAGATTCGAATTCAAGTTAATAAGCAAAAAATATAAAAGTGATGAGAGTTAGAACAGGCAAACAAATACAGTAACTTCCCTTCTTAAGCTGGAGTTTAAGTTCTCTGACAATGAGATCATCACTCGTTGCAAACTGTTTAAGATTTCCTAACAGTAATGCAACGAGTTTTTTTGAACCGCAAGAATTAAGAAATAAAATTAGTGCTCATTGAACACATAGCCACACATTTTATATCTAATAACTTGCTGTTCTTGAGCAGAAATAACGGATTTGTGACACGAACAATCCGAAAATTTATGTTTTCTCCTTTGCATTCCTCTGCCGGAATCTGGAAAAAAAACAATAACTTAAAGTGACTAATTCACGCAATCGCTCAGAGCTAAAGGTGCTAGAAATCTATCAACCACTTCCCCGAAAAAGTGACAGATGACAGTACATAACGCTTTGCAAAAATAAGTAGATATGTCTGATTTTTAGCTTTTTTAATCAATTTAAGAACTACCGTAACATCAATAACATGAGGTTCAGGAACAGTTATCGAATCACCGATAACAACGCCAAACAAATTTGACGAATTTAGGACAGCGAAAGCACAGCATGTTTTTTCCTTATCGATGCCAACAAAAGTACTGAAATTGAAAAAAAAAAGCTTTTTGCACAGCAGCTAATAAGTCAATTTTTCATCCCCAAATAATTTACTTTGATTACGAGAATTTGATGATTGAGATTTAATGGTATAGCAAATTCTATAAGTAAAATTATGTTCTATAAATATGACATCTTTCAGTAAAATCTACACCTTGAAAAAAACAAAAATATTTGACTTTTAACTTAAATTGCAGCAAAAGGTTGAAGATAATTTTACTATGGCACAGTTTCGTGATTGGGAATAACAGCAATTATTCTCGTACAAATTACAACACCATCATTTACTCCTTCTTTTAAGTCTTGCAAGGATACTGCTTTAAGCATCTTTTCTTGACCATTCTTATCCCTAACTCGTTGTTTAAGATAAATTCCATAATCATTATTACAGATCGCATTTTGAAACTGCTGCACTTTTTTGCTGCTCAATTTGCCTGGAATATTTTAAAGTTTGGACTGACGGAAATAATGACAGAGCTGAGATTGCTGTATTTTTTGCTGATTTAAAATATATCTGAGATTCACAATACATAATCAGACCATCAATTTAGCTAATTTTTGCCACCGATATTCTAAGACTTTCTTTCCAGAATATACTAATATTAGCAGAAAAATAGATTCCATTTATTTTGAATACATAAATGGCAAACCCCTTCAAAAAATAGCTATTTCAAACAAAGACAAATAATTCAACCCCTTCAGAATTTAAAAACAATTTACCGAATGACTCAACGAGATTAAATTGAAAAGCTTACCTTTTCTTTGTACTTGTAAATTAATTCGATGCAAATATGAAACTATTGCTTCTAACTCTTCTTTTGCTGGCGAAAATCTAGGATCACATAAAGTTGCAAACATTAAATGATTAAGACATTCCCTGTATTCTTGGTTAAACTTTAAAACCGTTGAATAATTATAGTGCAAACATGCATTGCAATGTTTGTCAGTAAGCTGTAGTGCTCTTTCATAAGCTTCCCGAGCCTTACCCTGCAAATAAATATTCTAGATAAATATAATACTGTATTGCGGAGAAATATAGTGAATTTTCTTATATTATAGACATTTTTAGATAGTTTTGAGCAATAGTACATGAAAGCGTAGAAAATGATTCAATTACGACAACATTCTAGAAAATGTATCACTAGGAATCATTTTCAGAAATAAACAATGAATCTGATGAGCACTTATTACTTCTTTTCGTGAAACTTTATCTTTCAATTATTGCATTCGATTCAGCTACCCGATAATAAAAATGTAAACCTACAACCTATTTTGAAGTGAAAATAACGAAGTAAATTTGATTTCAGTGCTAATAAGACTTCTTCCATTACAAAGTAGAATTCAAAAGATCAAGTGTAAAAAAAAGTATAATAGAACAAACCATAGGTTCACGATCCCTTTGCTGCTTGAAAAAAAATTGGGCCAAATATGAATTTCCTAAAATCTGCCATGCATTTTCATCATTAGGATTACGTTCAACAGCTTCAGTACATAATTGTAAAGCTTCTTCATGCAACTTCATCTGACTTTCAACGTTTTTTTCCTGTATTGCACAATAGCGAAGAGCTAATGCAAGGGAAGCAAGGCATTTAGCACTACGTGTATAACTAAGCGACTTCTGTAAATAAATAAAAATTGATCTAAGAAATGGAATTTATAAAACAAAAATAAAGTCGAGCCAAATTCAAAGCAATACTATAAAGCTTAAATAAATGAAGGTTTATTTAGACTTTATAGCAATCTGTGGCTGTCTTGAAATCTTTTTTCTTCCAAACGCATTCGCCAAGTTCATGCCATGCATCAGCCATTGATGGCTCTAATTTCACAGCACGCAATAAATATCTTTCACAATTGGCGTCATATTCTTCACAAATATTCAAAATTCGTCCACAAAGATAATTGTAATTAGCTGAAGCCGAACACTGTCCATTTATATCCAATGGAATATCCTTGTAAAAAATGCCCATTAAATCAAGTAAATCGAGAAATGCAGAAATTTTATAAGACTTTTAAATGCAAATAAGTGAACTAAATTTATCTTTATAATTTTATTACACGCAAAGCAACCTGTCATAACATCGTACTTAAGAGAAAAAGTGATGAAACATTCTAGTAGCTATTAACTACAGTAATAGCATCAAAACTATTCTTAATAACTTTAAAATGAATTAAATGACTAAATAACAAAATAAATAATCATATGTATTTAATCCATTTAAAACTTATTACATTGAATACAAACAAATGGACCTGTATTAGTGGCAATACTACAGCGCGCACAGCCTGACTTTTTTCCTCGGGTGTGCTTTGCGGAAAGTTATAGTAATAACTGTCTCGGAAACGTTTTGCTTCTTTGATTTTATCCTCCAAAACATCCATTTCTAGGACTGTTTGATACAGATAACTTCCTGTTGACACTTTTCACGAAACCTAAAAATCTTCCGAATCATAAATCCAATTTCTAACACATCATGAGTAAATATTTTTACTATTTACAATACTTCAAACCTAAGATTACTACGTTGATAAGAACTAACAATACACTGAACGTTTTAGCAGATTCAAAAATTAGTCTCCGAGCATGAACAAACTGAAATAATAGTAAGCAACTAATACAAAACTAAGAAAAGATGTCTTGTGCTTACTTTTACGAGGCTAAAATTTGAATTTTTGAAACATTTTAGACCATACTTTATATTAATAAGTAAAAAAAATGAGAAAAAGGGAATGGTCATTTGTTCGAAAATAAATTATGCTAGCTGAATATTACTAAAACAAATTGAAAATGTTCACGAGAAAAACAACCGTAAAAAAATGAAAGGTCATCTATCTGCATGAGATATATGAAATTCCGAGCACATCACAAATCTCATAGAAGTTAAGTGAAATTCATCGAAGAGAATCCATTGATTAAAATCAATACAAGTATAACATCAACCTTCTGAACAATTAAAGTGAAAGAAAGTTAGTTAATCGTTGCATAATTTAAAGGCCATGATGACAAGATTGGATTACGATACGCAATATCAGTATAAATGTGTGGGACGAGAATGTTGCATAAAGTATGGGTTGTTTAACTGTTCTCTGAGTGTTGTCTTAATAAATTGAATTTTGTTTTCAAATTCAAGTTCTGCTCTTTCAAATGTATTCATGCATATGTATGTCTATACTCGTTATTTAGTACAGTTTTACTTGCTTATCTTCATTATCTTTTTCATAAATGCTAAAAGAACTAACGAAAAAATGACTGTTTTAAGTTGAACGTTGAAATTTTTTTAGATATAAAATTTTGTGATATAAAATTACTCGATAAAATCGATACTGATCTTGTAACCATTTAAACAGTATACTTGCATCGAACAAAATATATACTTGATACTTTTTTTTGGCAAACTTTCTGAAAAATTTGTCGTCATTGAAACTGAGTAGCTTTT